ACAGTTCATAGAATTCTCAGTGTTTGTAGTCAAAATGGAAGATACCATTTTTTGTCAATGATATTGTTGCACAAGTTACGCAAACTGGAAAAATGTAAATTTACATATTAGTTTAATGAGAAAAATTATTCAATTTGTGGAATTATGTGACTTCAACCTCGAAACGATTGTTTATGAGGTAATAAAAATAACTGATACGGTCATAAGAAGATAAAATTCTTATAACAACCAAATTCACGAGATATAAAAGTTGGTACTTAAATAAATTATGGTGAGAGAGAGACAACGATCGCTAGATCACCTCTTATCCTCTTATCAGGTAGCCAACTTTTTGGACCTTTCGAACTTGTAGACGTCAAACCCTCAAAAATGATGTTAGGAATTTGGGAAGACAAGTGACAATTAATTAATGCTTGATCACCACGACCCATTTTGTGAGGAGACATCCTTGTCCGATGAGGTTACAAGATTATTTTATGAGGTCTTCGCACACATAAGTATTGCTTATCTATCCAATACTTCTTCTTTTTTGATCGCTTAGGAGCTCGCTATTTAAACTTTGAACAGGAAAATCAAGAGTTCGTCTAAACCTATATAATTTGATTTTGTTTTAAATAATTGATTTCAAGTTCTGTTACTCTTTTTTGTTTTGAATCTTGGCATCAATTGCTCCATATGGGGTGTTTGATTGAATCTCAATACAAACACAAAAGTCTTAATCTCACTAATTAAACATCAAAATTTGCTTATTATATGTGGACTTGCTTCTTTAATGATTTTATTCCCGTTCACAAATGACTTTCAGAACTTGTTTCTTCTCTAAAATTCCTGTTTTCCACTAAATAAATATCTGCCATTAGCCCCACAACTACTGTCAACCTCTTTATTTCCTCAAAAACTTATGATAAGTAATTGGTCAGTCGCTCCAATCACATTTTTACTAAAATTATAAGAAATCAAGATTAAAATTACATTCTACAACTTATGCTGCTTTTTAAAGCTCTTCTTAATTTCATTTTCTATTGTAATCTCTCTCTCTTTCCCAATTTGCTGAGTTCAGTTAAGCTAGTATTGTACACAGATGTAAGTCGATATTCCTTGCATCATCGGTGTGGGTTCGACTTGAGATCCTAATTTTGCAGAGTTCCGCAGCATCTCAAAGAGCAATTGTGCTCAGAAATAGCCATTCTAGAACAGCATTTCAGGCTAGCTGAAGTGCACATGGGTAGGCATTCTTGTTGTTACAAGCAGAAGTTAAGAAAAGGGCTGTGGTCTCCAGAGGAAGATGAGAAACTTATAAACCACATAACTAAGTATGGACATGGCTGCTGGAGTTCGGTCCCAAAACTTGCAGGTAATTTAGCTTGAATAAATTCCTCTTCATTCTCATGTAAATTTTCAAGTTAATGTACAATAAATGCTAAGATCCCTTTGTGTTTTTCTCACCATAAATACTGTCTTCAAGGGCTACAACGTTGCGGCAAGAGCTGCAGATTGAGGTGGATTAATTATTTAAGGCCTGATTTGAAAAGAGGGACTTTCTCAGAGGATGAAGAAAAACTGATAATTGAACTTCACGCAGTTCTTGGAAATAGGTGCTTTGGTTTTTATAAATCTTAGGTTTTTTTCTTTTTCATGCTGTTAATAATATTGAGGCTGGTATTTTCTGCCATTAGGTGGTCTCAAATTGCTACTCAGTTGCCTGGAAGAACAGACAATGAAGTAAAGAACCTTTGGAACTCATCCATCAAGAAAAAACTAAGGCAAAGAGGGATTGACCCTATCACTCACAAACATCTGACTGAGATTGAAAATGAAGAAAATGCATCTGTAACCACCAAAAATGATAAGAAAATGTCGAAAGGATCCAGTGATGATCAGCTAATAGCAGAGGAGAATGCAGAGCCCTCTTCAGTTTCTATAGACAATTGCAATAATATGGCCGCACCGACGCCTACCCACAATTTTTTCCTAAACAGGTTTCTAATTAGCCATGAAAATGTCACTGCCAGTTCCCAGCATCTAAATTGCAGTCCCAAGACCGGGTTGTTGATGATCCCTGATGGAAACTCAGTCTTCGATTCGAACTCCAAGTGTTCTGAGATAGCACTGGAGTTCAGTTCTTCTATGACAACTACTTTGCCTCCTTCCATGAGCCTTCCATTGGATAATTCCACAGGCCTTCTCAGTGTCCACAAGTTTCAGAAATGGGATTGCACAGTTAGAAACAGTGCCAGTGCTAAACTACAAAGTAACTGCAGCACCTTTGATTACAATGACTTTCCATGGGAACCTGCAGATTCTGAAAAATATGAGAAAGAAGCCAGTATTCAAGAAATTATCAGGCTGTCAGATTATAACCAAGGTTCATTTTTACAAGGAAATACTGCTCAACATCAAAATGATCAGGACATATACAGGCAAATGAAACCAGAAACTTCACTGAGGGCTAATTGGCACCAGAATCAGCAGCCTCTGCCGGCTGAAGACTTCTATACTTAGCGTTTGCAGAGATTTCCAGTGACTTTTGGAAAATTCAATAGGTGTGAGCTATAGAGTTCTATTTTTTAAATCTGTACAAAAAAATAAATAAAAAATAAAAATAAAAAACAAGAAGCACCTATGAAGAAATTCTCAGCCCTTTGAT